ACCTACCCCAGTAATTCAGTTTTTAGTCCTCCCACAGTAATTACTAACTCCAAAACTTAATTATCACACAAAAGTCTCTGGAACATCTTGAACACAAACAGGATTGTCTGTTTTATTGTGCGGAAGGGTCAGAGGTGGTGGTGGTGCTCTGCGACTTTTTGTAGATCTTGGTTTAGTGCGAGGGGCTGGAAGTGGAGGGTTACGTGGATTTGGACATGGTGTTTGTTTGATATTAATCTTGCTAGGCTCGTTCATGTTGTTAGTAAAATCCAGGAGGGGGCATTCCACTTGCTGTCCTGTTGGGGTCTCAGAGTCCAAGAGATCCTCTGTTTGTGATGCTGATGAATCCAGTTGTTCTTCCGGTTCTGCAGTTTGAAGTAACTCCTCTCTCTCTGGTTCTGATTCTGAAGCAGTCTCCTTATCAGTAACTGGCACGCTGTGTTCCACTGATATCTCAGTTTTCCCCAGCTTTCCTTCAGACGACAGCTGTTGTGGTTTTTCCTGTTTGTTCCTAGCCGGAACTTTGTTCAGGAAATACTTCATGTTGGAAGCCAGAAGCTGTGCTCCAGTTTATGATTCAAAATTGGTGAACCATCAGATTTCAGAAATTTCCTGTGTTTCCAAAGCGCCCCAAAATCATGCACCACGCATTGACCTCACCCTTTTCTCAGTCTCTGTTTTGCTGCATTTTGACAGAGTTTCCAATACAGTCTGCCATAAATCAAATCCATATTATTGTCGTATTTTTATTTAATAATTGTTTTAATGCAGTGGCCGCAGCATGTTGTGATTGTCTGACGCTGCTCTGCCTTCCGCTCTCTTCTTCCTGCAAAGGACACAGACAGAAATAAGGATGTTATGTTGCAAACTGCAGTCACTAAATAGCTTGTTGATTTTTTTTTTTTGATTTTTCATAATGTCACGAGTCAAAAGCGGGATCAATGTGTGCACACGCTGTGGGCCTGTGGGACAGACGAGCATTGCGCTCTTGTGGCATATTGTTGGTCAGGATCTGGCACAGTGCCAAGTTGATGTTTTTGTGTGCCACACGCATTGCGCCCATGTGGCCTGTATTTGTGTGGGTCAGGTACATGGATTTGTGCGTACCCTCCAATAAAATCCTGCAGGCGCTCCTGTAAATAAGAGCTAAAAAAAAGTGGATTCTGCATGATATGTCTCCTTTAACGTAGACTGGGGCACAGTGAAAACTGTTCTGTGGGCAGATGTATCAACCCAGTTCAAGATGGCCGCCAAACCAACTGATATTAGAAAACACAAAAATAATAGCTATACCTCATACAATTTTTCTGATATTGACCTAAAATTTGGTGTGGCAGTATGAGAGTTATTTTCTTTATGGCAGGGCCATACAACTAAATTGCTCCAGGGGCCACAGTTACTGCAGGTCAGCAGCTCAGGGGCCGAACACTCAGCAATTAAAGTCATTATGTAAATAAACCAAGTATTTCAAAGATCTGTTACCTTTGAAAGAGTTTATTTTACTGCATTTAATCATAAATACAACATACAGAACCCTGTTATAAAAATAGTGATAATAAAACAATATCAAAAACAAAAATAACACATTCTGCCTCCTGTTTAAAACAAATGTTATTTTGACATCTCTGACTAACCAAATTTTTAAACCAATTTTATTTTCACTGTCAGAGTTTTATTTTGAATTTCTTGTAGTTTTAACTGTCTTGAGTGTGCAAAGAAATGTTTTTTTACCAGCTTCTAGCCAATGTTCTGATGTTTCTGTAGATACCAAATATGTCTATGTTTAACTAAAATAACTTCTAGTAATTAAAGTAGAAAACTTGGGGTTTGGACCTAAGAGATGAATCAATTGGCGGGCCGAACTTTGGTCGCTCAAGGGCCGTATGTGGCCTGGGGGCCGCCAGTTGAATAGCCCTGGTTTATGGTCTGCTGCTGCTGCTGTGTAAAAGCAACACACGCTAAGTTTTTCTGACTGAGAGGTCTTTACTTTCAGAAAGTTTATCTTTCTTTTTACACTCTGTAATCACCTGTATGCTTTGCACTGTCTTCTTTTTTAACTCTGTAATTATTCTTTGCTTTTATGTTTGACAAACAGTAGGCATCGTTAGCTCTGTAAGCATCATCTCTATCCATCTCACGTTGCTGTGAAACACATTTTTATGTTGGGAAATATAGTTTCAATCATTATCAGAACAAAAATGTCTGTCAATCACTCCTGTTTTAACTTGATTTACTAGATCCAGTTGCAAATCAGAGGTTTACAAAGAAAGACCTCGACCATCTCAGAACAGGTCCAATCCAGACCCAGTTACTGCCAGAATAAGTCAGTAGGTTAATGTAAAAGTACAAGTGCCATTTGTGAGGGTCCTGAGGTGGTCACTGGTCAAATTATTGACATCCAAAACAGAACTCCCACTCTGAGTCACCTTCTTTCTACCCACCAATAGGGCTGCCACGATTAATCGATTAATCAATGACTAATCGATTATTAAAATAATCGATGACTAATTTAATAATCAATTAATTGTTTTCTTTCTTTTTTTGTTGTTCTTAACTTTGTTTTTCTCTCCCAACTGCTTTGACACCTTCCACTGCCACATCTGCCTTTCTGTCCTTGACACACATGCACAGTAGTGGTAACTGGGGTAGGCCGTGGACGTCACAACACATTATACAGACAGACTCTGGTATCATGGCTACCTGACAACGGAGCTCAAAAGTGTGGGATCTTTTTTAAGAAAATGAAAGAGAAACCTGTGCAATATCTGTGAGGCAGAACTTGCCTTCCACAGCAATTATTTTTAGTTAGCATATAGCTAANTCCACAGCAATTATTTTTAGTTAGCATATAGCTAACATCTAACGATGGTTATATAATAGCAGCTGCATTCTGGCACGATAAGCTGTATGTTTATATTCAATTAACAAATGATCCAATTAGTCGACTAATCGAAAAAATAATCGGTGATTAATCGATTATAAAAATAATCGTTTGTGGCAGCTCTACCCACCAATCATAAACACTAAAAAGGAGGCTCAATCACTCACATTGCATTGCTGTGGTCCTTTACCTGAATAATAAATGAAACAACAGCCCTCCTATGCTTTTATTTTGAAGGAAACACAGAGACAAACAAGAATTAGTTATAACCCAAAAGCAATAAAACTTTTAGAAATAAAATAAACACACACCCATACACACAAAAATTAAGCAAAACTTTATCTTAAAGGAGCAAAACACCAGACTAGATCTGCACAACTATAGCACTGTCTCTACCTCACACTTGTAAAACACTAAACACATATTTTTGCTTTAGCCACAGAAAGATATCCTGTCCATTCTTTGTCTTTTCAAAGCACTGGCTTGTCAAATGACTGACCTATAAATCCATCCACACCCTCCAGGTGCAAATACACTCAGTGCTTAAATCAACTAAAACAATCAGGTGAGTGCTATATAAAAAAGGAAGGCTCAACAACATATTTTTTGGCACATTTGGAACCCCATAGCAGGTGCGTTTACTTGTTTTCAACAAAAATGTACAGTGAAGATGAGAGGGGAAGAAAAGAAAGTGATAGATGAAGAAAAAAGTAAGGAAGTTTGTGTTTGGTAGATTATTACTTTGCTATAGCAATAGTTCTTGGCAATAATCTTATATCTTTGGAAAATCTGTTAATTTTCCTTTTAAATGGTGCCACATTTGTAAGGAACATGCATTTGTGGGATGAGCAGTAGAGCTGAGTTTATGGCTTGAACACACGAATAATGTGTCAAATCCTTTCTGCCAAGCAACTTGCTGTTGATACTGACTCTTGTTTTGATCTTCTGGTACCTCCAGGTGCTGCCAATCACTTATTCATAAAGGAACTGATGTTTCCACAGTAAACAGAGGCGCCAGAGTCCAGGGTTAGATTCATAGAAGTTGGAGAAGAGATGCAGGACAGACACGGCCTGTGATTGGTGGAGCAGTCAGTGACGTCACGCTCAGTATTTTCAGGAGTGAAGTGCTGATCAGCAGGCTCCTGGAGGCTCGCGCAGAACTCGATGCTCACGGCTTTATGTTTGGGATTTGTTTCCGAAAAAATGATCCCCATCAGGTGATGGATTTATGAACCAAGACTCTTGTTCTTCACGCATCCATCAGGTAAATGTCGTTTGTTAAAAGTTAGAAGTTACTGTTGTTCTACTATGAAATGTAAAAGTTTTGTAGAGAGACCTAGTAAACGGGTAAATAAGTACACAGATTGTAGTGAAAAGAGCTTTGAGTATCCTGGTTGGATAGAAAAGCTCTATATACAGAGAAAATAGCTTTTCAAGTGTTTAGAAATATCAGAACCTGTTTTTTTTTGTTTATTTGTTGTTGTTTTTTCTGTGTGTTGACACAAAAATAACAATAAAAGACTAAGTATAAATCAGTCCAACTTTAAACGTCTTAAGAGACTATTGCTTAAAGTTGTTTTCCCTTTCTGGTTCGTATTGCTAATTTAGTGAGTCAGCAGGTTTTAAAATGAAAGTATTATTTACCAAATGCTTGAGAATGATGAAACCAGTGGCAGATCTAAGAAGGGGCCTAGATGGATCATTTCATGTAATTGTCCATCCAGTAAAGTCCAATAAAATCAGATTTTGATGTACTTCTGTTCAGTTAAAAGTCAAAAGTCGTCATCATAGGGCTGTGTTTTTAATCTAAAGCAGCCTTGTTATATATATATATATATATATATATCACAGTATGCACTTGTCTTTCACATTTCTTCTTTCAACATCCATCCATTAAACTTTAATTAAAAACTGATACAGTAAGTAAGTAAGTAAGTAGCTAAGTAAGTAAAGTTTTATTTATAAAGCACCTTTCACAGAAATATATTCACAAGGTGCTGTACAATCATTAACAGTATAAAATGGTGGAAAAAATAAAATGAAACAGAAAAACATAATTAAACATCAGCAATGAAAAAAGTGTCAGTGTGACATACAGTATCAGGCAATGACATTTTGTGATATTTAAGTGTATCCATTTTCTTACACCCGTTGTAGACATCTCGTGAGAAATGATGCAGATGTAGCAGTTTCTTATTAACCTTGAAAATGAACTGTTATGCTTGATGTTAGGCTTGATCTTGCTGTGTGAGCTCGCCCTCAGAGTATACGTTGAGGATGACTCTCAGCTACTTTTACTTTTCAAGTTGTACGGATTGCCTGTAAATTACAAAGATTTTCCTCCATTTTGCTTTTATGCAGATGAATGGGGGAATTTTTTTTAAAAACTTTGTTTAAATTTATTTAAGTCTCAGAGCTGGCAGGCTGTAATAAGTTTGAACCCCCCTCTCCTCTCTCTGCTCTTTTGTGCTGCAGACGCTGTAATCTCCGCCCAACATTCTTGGCCATTGGATAGAAAAATGTTAATAAATGTTAAAATAAATATAACTAACATTTTTTATTTAGCATATTGTCAGAACGTAAAATCGTAGTTGAAAATTCCACAAACATTTTATTGTTATTTAGCACATTGTTCTTATGTTTTACATTTATGTTTAAATGTTAAATCCTGAATCTAAATGTGTGAATATAAATCAAAAAGTTAAATCGTACAGGGGAAATATTATGCAAAATCAACTTTTTCTTAGCTTTATACAGTATCATGTTTCGTTCTTTCATCAAAAACATAACCAGAGTGTTGCTTTGACTCATTCATGCATGATTTGAGAACTCATTGAATCTCCTCTGGTAGCCATGTGGAACAGCCTAAACACTTGCTGCTACAAAGCACCTCCTATTTGTAACTAGTTCCTTCCTGGAGCTCAGTCTGCAGCTGAGCTCCCGACCCACAGAGCACCACTCCCCCAAAGCATTGTTGTGAAGACAGGTTGAAGTGGCAGTGTCAGAAACGGTAGGGGGTTTCAAAGACACAGGACAATTTCAATGAGTATAGATAGGCTATGATGCAAAGTCAGATTTATTTTTTATTTATACAGCATTTTCATTAAAACTAATGGTAACATAGAATTAAACTGTGTGCCTGGAAAATACACAATCACACACACACACACATGTTGCAGCTAAATGATAAAGCTCACATTTAAATTCTATACAGCTTTTACTATGAAGTCATCATCCTGTAACAAAAGCAACGCTCAAACACTGGCCACATCTGCAAGTTTGACATCTTAAAGTGTTAGCAGCGTTCGCAGTGTTCGCAGCGTTAGTGGTTGTTTGTGTCACAGGATGATGACTTCATTACAAAAGCGTCTACGTTCCATTCTAATATACTTAAATGCAAACACTGACATGGCTACAATATTTAGATTTACACATTTAGACGTATTTAACTTTTAAATTGAACACTTCGTAAAAATTAGGGAAATGTAAGAACATTGAGCTAAATAATAATAAAATGTTAGTGGATATTTTTTATTAAGACTTTACACTCAGAAAGTGAGCTAAATGATGAAAATGTGTTAGTGACATTTATCTGTGTTTCTGCTGGGAAAACCTGCATCCATGGAATTCCCATGGATGTTACTTTTGACAAAATAGAAAGATTTTTTGCATATTTGTTAGACTTGTTAGACATAATAACCAGCTTCATCTTGACTGGTCAGAGTGGCATCAGCAGCAGAAGAGGAGCATGCTCAGTATTAAGCTTTTAGTCACAATGGCTGATCTGTAAATTCTATATTCTTTTAATAAATTATTACCAGGAGTTAAAAGCAATCTGTAACATGATTCTAAGAAGCTTTGATAAAGCAGTTGTTAGCTTAAATCAAATGTGACGCTAATTATTGAAAGTGAAGGTCTGATTTGAAGAGAACGTAGAGGTAAACCCTTGAGTGACTTCCTGCGGCTTAATGTATCAATGGTGCGTACGCACAAAAACCTTGCGTACGCCATTTTCCACGCAAAACTCCGGATGTATCAAAACTCAACTGAACGTGGAAATGTGCGCAGCCCCACGCCAACTCCAGGGCTGGCGTACGCATGTTTCTGTGGCTTTGGTTCCATTGGTGACACTTAGAGCTGATTCTGATTGATTTGATTTGATTTGATTTATTTATTTAACATGAAAAGATTATTAAAAATCAAGCCTGACTCAGCATAATTGCTGTTTCACAGCAGGTTCCTGTTCTGCAGCACATAAAACACACAGAATTACAGCATCACAATCACATCATTATACACATAGGCACAAAGACAAACAAGCATACCAAATTTCAGGAATGCAGCATTTGCAAAATAGGACGTCTAAATATGAGCACAACAAAAAGTGTCCAGCAGATGGCAGACAAGATTCTTCTTAAAGGGCTGTAG